AGAACTCTTCCCCAATCTCAAGCATCACACCTTCGATCTGGGCCCACAGCATGTCGGGCAGCGTGCGGTTCTTCAAATCGCGCATCAGGTCCTCGTCATGAGTAAAACGCTCTTCCACAGCTTGGATAAAATCATCTCGAATCGGATCGCCATGGAAGGCTTCCAGCATTTTGTCTCGATCCCATCTCGTACGTGCTGCCTTCACTTTATTTGCGGCCGTCCACGTCGGCAGCTGAAGCTTGAGATGTAAAAGCATGTGGTCTCGACGTACCCGAGTGCCGATGAGCTGAAGTTGTCGCGACAGGTGGCCCAGTGTTCCCGTACTGCTGCATACTAAACTCGTGGGTACACATATATAATCAATGAGAGTCTCCACGCCACTCGTTCCGTACCAAGTAGATTTTCCATGATCCGCACTGCGGGCTGTCATGTAATGGCTCTCCAGTAACTCGCGTAACAATTGTCCAGCCAAATGCTCCGTCCGTGCCCCATATTCACTGATGGCCTCCGTCTCAATGTTCGTGCATGCAGGTGGGGGTACCACTCCCATCCCATCGTTCAGATCCGTACACAATATCGGGACGCTTCTGCTCGGGGTCTTGGCCAGGACTTCCGCAATCCAATCAATCAGTCCGCGGACAGTACGATCATATTTGGGCCCCTCTGCTTTTGTCTTCACTCGCGGTGGAAAATATGCGCCAATGATAGTAAAATCGTAGAAGGAAGAGGCGACGCGGACCGCAAGACCGCGGCCCGCAAGGGCTGCCCCAGGTACAGTGATACTTCGGAGATGTCGCCGCTTGATCTTACATCCAAAACTCATTGTGATGCCTGCCGAACTGTTAGTGTACTGTCCAGGGCACCATCCGCCCTCCACCTGCCATCGTCGTCCAAGCCGTCGTTGTTGAACCCGTAGTGTGGCACGTTGGGTAGTGCCCACCAGCGTAACGCAGTCGAAATTCTCGCACGCCAAGTTAATATCCTCCTGTCTGTCACGGCGGGAGGAAGAGAGGGGGTTGTAGTGCCCGCATCGCCATACGTGAGGTAGTAGCTGTGGCGGCGTTGGGGTCCCCCCCATCTCCCGTGAGCATTTTTCCAGTTTGAGCTGCAGGCATGCTCCCGCGGCCATGATGGCCACCAGCAGCCCATGGTGTGGCATCAGACCCAACAGGTCATGTTATGAAAGGACTCTGTGTCGGTCTATGGCCGCCTTCAATGTGCTTCAGCCGTGGCGGCGGCTAGGAGGAGGAGGAGGAGGAGGGAGGAGGGAGGCAGGAGGCAGGAGGGAGGAGGGAGGAGGGAGGAGGGAGGCAGCGCGGTGTGCGCCGGCCGCATTCTGGCACGCTCACGGCGAGCTTCCTGCCAGCTGCGCTGGCAGCGCGGTGTGTGCGGCGGGAGGGAGCCAGCACGCTCGGAGCGAGCTGCCTGCTGCTTCCGCCAGGAGTGGACAATCGACGACTGGCAACCCAAACCCCCTCGGGTGATGAAAAAAACATGACGGGAAATGTTTGGCCAATTTCGGCCTCGGGGGGCCCTCGCCGGGCCTCGGGACCGTCAAAAAACGACTCGGGATGTACCGGGGGACCCCGTTCTGAAAAGATCAGGACGTCGCATGTCTGTGGCCAGAGTGGACAATCGAGGACTAGCAGTAGAGGGGCCCCAAACCCTACCCTTTTGGGAGGGGACCCAAGTCAGGAGGGCCAGAAGCATCAGGGATGGGGGGCCTGTTCTACAGATACAGCAAACCAAGCCAGCCAGGTCTAGTATCCCTGAGGCGAAGACGGGGACCTATGAGTGAGGCCGCGTCTTCACGAACATGTTTTTAGGGATAGGTGGTCATTTAGTTATCCTAGATGAATCGAGTCCGCGGGAGGAGGAGGAGGAGGAGGTGGAGGAGGAACAGGAACAGGAGCAGGAGCAGGAGCAGGGGCAGGAGCCAGCAGGAAAGCCAGCCCCAAGCGGCGCGCCGCCCAACAGCTCTGGCGGCGCAGCGTGCGCTGGACGCTGGCCAGCGCGCGCGGAGCGAGCCTGCTACTGGCAACACTGCCAAGCGATCTGGCACGCTCGTGCGAGGCAAGGACATATTTTGAGCAGGGACCGACCGTCCCGGCATTCCTGTATGCCTACCATGAACTGTTCTTAGGACCTAGAAATGGTTCCAATAACAAAGAACACGGTTCTTCGAACATGAACCCAACGTACTAGAATTAGACAGTCTCAGCCAGAAATGTTCTAAGAACAGTTCTGGCAGACCACGAAAGGTTTTTCGAGCATTATTATTTGGTAGGCCTATCGGCGAGCCAGGACGCTTCGCCACTGCTATATCTTGGCCCCACGGGTGCCGAGTGCATGCGCATCCACCGCCCGCCGAGGTCCGTGAAGGTCGATCCCCCAGGCGGTGCTTGTGCATCGATTCCCGCCTCGGAGCTCGCAGCGGGCCTCACGGCAGCAGCGCCAGCAGCAACGCCGCCAGAGTGACTTGCGGCGGTCACACGTAGAGGGCATACAATCCACCCACATAATAACCACCCCGACAAGCGAGGCCGTTTACTGAACGCCCCCAATGAGGGAACCGAACAAGGCAGGGCTGTTTAGTAAACGCCCAAGGCCGTTTAGTAAACGCCAATTGTCCGGTCTGGGTGGTTTTTCCTCCCGTGAACACGGGCAGGGGGTCTCGGACCGAGCCTCATGGCAGCAAAACTGGCAGCAGCGCTGAAACACTGGCAGGACGAAGCGCGCCAGGCGCGAGCTGGCACGCTCGGAATGCAACTGGTGCAGAAGTCACTGCCAACGTGCGCACCAGGAAAGCGAGCCGGCTCGCTCGGAGTGGGCTTCCTGGCAGCAGCACTGGCAGCAACGCTGGCAAAAAGGATGTGCAGCGGAGGCGACCCAGCATGCTCGGCGAGTGTATTTCCCGGCAGATTGATGTGCAGCGGACGCGGGCTCACACGCTCGGGCCGAGCTTCTTGACAACCTCCTCCTCCTCGGGCCGAGAATCAGCGGTTTCGGTACAACCGGACCTTGGACAAACAACACCCCTCAAGAACATGAGACCCTCCGCTGGCCAAACTGAAGAGCGAGAGTGACCTCCCCCCGGATGCACACTGACATCCAACAGGCACGAATAGCATAAAGGTACCCTCCCTGAACTGACCTCGATCTTTTACCTCGGCCCGACGTACCTCCTCCTCGTCCTCCTCCCCCTCCTCCTCCTCCTCCTCCTCCTCCTCCTCCTCCTCCTCCTCCTCTGCAGCTGGCAGCGCGAAGTGCGCCGGACGCGAGCAGGCACGCTCGGCGTGCCGACAGCGCTGCCAGCGCGTGCGCCAGAAACGAGCCAAAGCACGCGCGGAACGAGTTGTCCCGGCAGCAGCTCCGGCAAGAGCGCGGGTAACGCGATGCGCGGCGGGCGCGAGCGCCAGCACGGTCGGAGTGTGCTTCCCAGCAGCGGCAGCTCCGCAGGCCCTCCTTCCCTCGCTCTGCTCCTCCCCTCCTCCTCCCCCTCCCTCGCCGTCCCGCGCTACTCCCCTGACTCCCAGGAGGCTTGAGAGGGCGAAAACGCCGGAAGTGCAGCGGTATCGGTGTCCTGTTCCTCCCCCGAGATCCCCCTCCCAATCTCGCGTGCGCCTTAAGAGGAGGGCCAGGCAGCTGGGATTAGCGTTACCATGGACTGCGGCATGTGCACGGACGAGGGGCATCCAGGGGCATATGGAAAAAGACCGGAGGACCAATCAATCGGGGAGATTGCACGGCCCGGACCATGAGATCCTCTCCCTCCCCTAGCGAGGGAGAGTCGGGGCCAGGGGCGCATCGAAAGAAGAGCAGAGGTGATGATGATGATGATGATGATGATGATGATGATGATGATGATGATGATGATGATTCTGATGCTGATGCTGATGCTGATGCTGACGCTGATGAGGATGAGGATGAGGATGAGGATGAGGATGAGGATAAGGATGATAATGATAATGATAATAAGGATGAGGATGAGGATGAGGATGCTGATGCTGATGATGATGATGACGATGATGATGATGAGGAGGAGGAGGATGAGGATGATGATGCCCATGGCCCAGCCCATGCTACGCATCCTGTCTGCATCGATCGATCGACCCTTCCCCGGGGCTGGCTCCTCGTCTCGAGCAGCGCTTCCACGACCCCTGGGGCCGGGAAGCGGTCTGCAGGAGGCCGAGCCCAGACCCCCGACGTCGTAATTTGTTCACAGCGTCGACCCCCAAAAGTCTGGACCCCCTTCCCCGGGACCAATTTTCCAGCCTGAATCGTTTCGTTGACGGTCCCGAGGCCTGGCAAGGGCCCCCGGAGGCCGAAAATAGAGAAGAACCTCCCGTCGCGATTTTTTCACAACGCGAGGGGGTCTGGGCACAAAATAGCCTGGCGAAAAAACAAAACCATATGCAGTTGTGAACACCGCAGTTGTAGGTATCGTCTTCGGTGAAGCCCCCGCGCTGTACTGGGTGGGGGAGACACATGCAGACTGCGCCACTGGAACCTTCGGTGGAGCTACCTATGGGCTACGAAGCGGTGTACAAGGTGGGGGAGACACATGCGGGCTGCGCCACTGGGACCTTGGGTGGAGCTCCTCATGGGGCCACGAAACGCTGTACTGGGTGTGGGAGACGCATGCGGGCTTGCGCCACTGGGACCTTCGGTGGAGCTCCTCATGGAGCCAGGAAGCGCTGTACTGGGTGTGAGAGACGCATGCAGGCTGCGCAATTGGGACCTTCGGTGGAGCTCCCTGGGGGGGGGGGGGGCCACGAAACGCTGTACTGGCTGGGGGAACCGCATGCAAACGGCGGAGGAAGGAGGAGGGGGGAGAGGAGAAGAGAGGAGAGGAGGAGAGGAGGAGAAGAGGAGAGGAGGAGAGGAGGAGGAACGCGGGGCGCTGTCTCTTCAAAAAGATGACCCAATACCACAAGATGGTTGGAAGAAGCCGAAGACCGACCGCCGCGATTGTTGCTGCCTCACACGGGCCCCCCCGCCTGTACATGTCGTTGTAGAGCTTGGCGACGGCCCTGCGCGCGCGCGGGGGGGGGGGAGGCGCCTTCCGCGCGCCGTTGCCGCGCCGCTCGCCCCAGGCCCCTCCGAGGGAGTATGGGGGGAACCCGTCGTCCTCGCGGCGGCCGCCGCCGTCGTCGTCGCAAGCGTCGTCGTCGTCGAGGCCGTCACGCTCGATCCCCGTCGCATGCGCCGCGGCCCCGACGCGTCCCCGCGCGGCCGCGGCGCGCGGTGGGGCAGGGCGCGGAGCTGACGGCCCCAGAGGCGGCGCCGCGGGCGGAGCCCCGAGCCGCCCGCGCGACCTCGCCCTCGGCTCCCCGAGCCCAGTGCCAGGGGGGAGGGGGAGGAGCAGCCTAGGCAGGAGAGTCGGGGGCAGCAGCTGCAGCAGACCAACCTCACGATCCAGCGCGCTGAGCAGCACAGGGCACACGCAGCACCCTGCCATCGCTCGGGCGTCCATTTCCCGTGCATCTTTCGGTTTCGTGCGTGTTTGTTTTGCTTGATGGTCCAGGATGGTCCTCGATGGTTCCCGCCGACAAAAATGCACACGCCCGAGCGATGCCAGGGCACGGGACAGAGGAGTAGCAGAGCCCCTCAGATCAGAAGATGAGCATCGCAGAGCACACGCATCACATCACACAGCAGGAAATGAGTATCAACAGAGCGCGCGCACTGAACGAAATTCATCGCTTCAGGATCTCAGGCTGGAATCCATCTACGCTGCAGGGTGCTAACCGCATGGAGGAGCTGAGTCCGGAGTACTCCAATGTCCACCTCCTCCCACTGCCGGGGACCAGAATTCGCCAGAAGAGGAACACCCCTCACCACCACGACGTGTCCCACGCGCAAGCCTGGATCCATTTCGGATGGGGAAGGGGTGCGATGAGTTACAGCTCGGCAGGATGCACTATTGGACTGAATCGGCAACGTTTTCGACCGAAGGACCGAAGGACGTAGTTCGTATCGATCATCCACCGCCTGAGCTTTAGGGTCGTGCAGGTACTATTGATATTGTGCAGGGATCGTTTCGCGTTCGTCTCATCGTCGGCTGGACACCAGACCCGACATTGGAAGCTTACCTATTCTAGATTGTTCGCTTAAACTACTCGTAAGGCGGCCTCGGCCCCAGGGAGACTGATACCCATTTTCTTCGCGGACCTGAAAACGGGGTTAGGCAAACAGGGCAGGACACTCGTCAGTGACTCCAATGTCGGCAGTTACCACGCCAGCGCGGACAACGACACCGGACGCCTTGTACACAAAACCCTACTAGACAACGAACAGGCCGCAGTCTATAACTTCTTCGACTTAGGCTACACCTTCTACGGTAACAACAACGCGCGCTCCTGCATCGATTACTTTGTCATCCCTCACTCTCTACTTCCTCGTGTTTCTCGAATGTACTTGTGTTGGAGGTCGCATCGACGAACCCAGGCACTGCCGCACATGCTAGACCACATCCCTATGGCCATGGAGTTGTCGATAACCGCGCCACCGCCAGCATCGCAAACAGGGTACTATGTCTTCGACTGGGGCCTCCTTGCAACAGGCCTCCAAGTAGGCCACAACAGGCGCGAGTTCTTAGAGGATCTGTACCAGGAGCTCTCGTCGGCGTCCCCGCTTCTAGACATTATTAAGCAAGATGATGATCATACTCGGCACACCGCGGTGATCAGTCATCTCATTCGTACCACAGCTTACAAGTACTATTCCAGAGTCGCCTCTACACCTGTTTGGGTCACAGAAGGAAGGATGAGGAGACTTTGTCTGTTGCGCCAGCGAGCTGATGTCAAGGATCGGATCGGCATGAAGCCCAAGGACCCCGAGTTGAAAGCGATCTCGGCCGAACTCAGGAGGTTTACGAAATGGCAACGAGAATGGTGGAAGTGTTCCGTTGAACAGGAGCTCAGGGATGCCTGGGCGAAACGCGAAACCGCTCGTGTTGCCGAACTTGCCCGACTCCGAGCAAGTACCCGAACAGGGGCCCGCAAACGATCGTATCTCACTACCGTCTGCACGCCCACGTGCTGATGACTTTCACACCGCACGTGCACGGGCATGAGGAGGAGGATTAGCAGCAGAACCAGCATGCGCGAGCATGCACATGACAGATGATAATGCCATCCTCTCCCTCCTCGCCCGCCCTCTGAACGAGATCTACCCAGTCGGAGTCGAGTGCCAGGACCCCGCGCTCGAGGATGCGACCCAGGCCCATGATGACCTGCGCTTCATTGAAGAGCGCCTGGACATGCAGAGGCGCCGCCGTTACTCTCCGCCCTGGTCCTGGCACCAGGAGATAACCCAGATGGTTCTTCGACCGCTGACCCTCACCAAGCCTGGCCTCCCCACCCTGGGCGTCGGACACTCCGAGGGCCAATGCATCACTCGCGGACTGGGTTGGGACGAATGCCGACCCCCGCGCCAACCCGATCAGCGCGAATTCTAGGGACTTCGTTTGGCCGTTGCTGCAGCAGGTCGGGATGCACTCCATAGGCTGCTATCGCATGTACGTGCTACATACAGACTTCCACAACATGCATATACTAGCCATGGCATCATGATCCCCAAGAGGAACAAAGCCCCGACTGGGAATACAATGAAATAGATCAGTGAGGTTCTACGCATGATGCATGTATTGTGACCTTTTTGGCGTTCATACCTTCGAGTTGGTCTAGTCGTTTACGGTTCCGAATTCGACCACCCGGCCTGGGCGTACGGCGGTATTCGTCACCGACGCCGTGAAGCCTTGATGGCCATCTTGAAAATCCTGGTATGGAAGCTCATACACTGTAAGCTAGGCCGAAATAAAATGGTCGGAGCTCTAGACACCCTGTGCAAGAGAAGAACTCTTCCCTGTCGCACCCCCACACGTTTCGGTAGGGTACAGGCGTTTCGCGTGAGACTTCCTCACCACTTGTGATTTTGAAGCTTGAGATTTGCAACAATTTCATGGATGAAGGACGGACCGCCTTCAAAATATGGCTCTCGCCGTGACGCCACGCACATTCGCCTGAAATATTAACAGAAATATCACACATAGAAAACAGGTGCAAGTCTCTTATGACAAATCTGGTTCTCGCCTTAGCACCGGGCATGTTCGTCTTGAAAGTGTAAAGCAGCTCCACGAGTGGAGGATGGGTAATTTCCAAAATGTGGCTCGCCTAAGCGCCGTGCACATTCGTCTTACACAAATGCAGCAGCTTCAAGGACGGAGAGCGGTTCCTTTTCAAAATGTAACTCTCGCCTGAACGCCGCGCTCACTCGTCTTAAAAACTTGCAGCAGTTTCAAGGCCTCGTATGGTTGAAGTCCCAGGCCAGGAATGGCATTTTGGCGCGAAGCTTTCACGTTGATTCGCGGTGTTGAAGTCCCTGGAATTTCATTCTGGCAGGATTTAGGATTGCCAGGACGCAACAGTCGCGTTCTTTTTCGGCGTTGCAGTCCCACGAATTGCATTTGGCGCGATCGAGAATTCTCAGACGGTTGTCTTCCAATGGGAGACGTCCCGCAATGAGAACAAAGTCTTGTAGGAATCCATGGAACTTGGAGTGAGGGTTCCTTGGAACGCCGTCGATGCGTCTTGGGTTTGCACTGGTCCTCCTCCTTCTCATCATCCTCCTCCTCATCCTCATGATCATCCTCCTCCTTCTCGTCCCGCTCTTCCTCCGCGCGTAAATGGGAGGCCCGGCCCAAGGTGCCGCAGGGAATGGAATCGATCAGGTAGGCGAGCGAATCGCCGAGCTCATGGAGAAGGACGGAGACATCTGCATCATCGGTGGCGGGGAATCCGTGGCTCCTGTGGGCCAAATCTGGCCTGGCGCCGAAACGAGTGGAGGTCCTTCTACAGCGGCGCCTCGGACGACGGGGACGACCTGGACGGTACCGCAAGCGACCACGTGGTGTCGCCCGGACTCGTGAATCTGGACAGGATGCTTGGAGGCCTCCTACATGGAGTCGGAGTAGATGGGGTCGGAGGATCGCGCCGCATCGCCGATGTATCGGCGACGTCGGCGATGCATCTGGGTCGTCAGCGTGGAGAAAATCGGGCTCCACATCGAGCGGCATCGGCGATGCATCGGCGATGAGGCGAGATCCTCCGACCCCATCTGCTCCGACCCCTTCTGGGAGACCTGGAGGGCTGCAACGGTTCTGCGAAGATCCCCGTGGGAGGCGGGGCTACGACCTGTGCACACCTCGCCCAAGATACAGCTGAGCACCGTTTAACCGATCCCTATCCCCACCGGCGTGGCCTAGGCCCAGTGGTACAGTTCGCATGCGCCCCCCCCCGCCCAGTAGAGCGTTTCGTGGTCCCAGCGGGAGCTCCACCGAAGGTCTCAGTGGCGCAGTTCGCATGCGTTCCCCCCCGCCCAGTACAGCGTTTCGTGGCCCAAGAGGGAGCTCCACCGAAGGTTCCAGTGGCGCAGTTCGCATGCGTTCCCCCCCGCCCAGTACAGCGTTTCGTGGCACCGGCCCCAGAAGGAGCTCAACCCAACGTCCCAGTGGCACAGTTAGCATGCGCCCCTCCACCCAGTAGAGCGTTTCGTGGCCCCCCCAGAGGGAGCTCCACCGAAGGCCTCAGTGTCGCAGTTCGCATGCGGCCCGCGCTGCTAAGTACAGTGTTTCGTGGCCCCAGAGGGAGCTCCACCGAAGGTCCCAGTGGTGCAGTTCGCATGCGTCCCCGCCCCGCAGTACAGCGTTCCGTGGCCCCAGAGGGAGCTCGACCCGAGGTCCCAGTGGCACAGTTCGCATGCGACCCCCCCGCCCAGTAGAGCGCTTCGTGGTCTCAGAGGGAGCTCCACCGAAGGCCTCAGTGGCGCAGTTCGCATGCGTCCCCCACACCCAGTACAGCGTTCCGTGGCACCAGAGGGAGCTCAACCGAAGGTCCCAGTGGCGCAGTTTGCACCCCCCATACCCAGTACAGCGCTTCGTGGCCCCGGGAGCTCCACCGAAGGTCCCAGTGGTGCAGATCGCATCCCCCCGCCCAACACAGCGTCTCGTGGCCCCAGAGGGAGCTCCACGGAAGACGATACACTCAACTGCGGTACTCACAACTGCAGATGGCTGGGTTCTTCGCCAGGCGAACTTCTCATCCTGGGATCCGCCGCCTGAACTCGACCCTCGGCAATTTCTGAAGCATCATCCTGTGTTCAACATGTCGCGGATGCGATCCATATCCGTACCCGCTGCGTGTTGGACTTTCTGAGAAGGGGCGGAACAGACAGAGGCGCGGTGGATATGGACAAGCATCTAGCCTCTAGGGGCCAGATCTCTATCCACATCCTCTTCGCCTCGGGATTCTGGGGAAGGGACCCCGAGACTCCAAGACGCAGTGGATATGGATACAGATATTGCCCGCACATCTAGCATAAACTCTCGGAGCTATGCGCGGATATTCCTGGATCTGCGCTGGAAACCCCTCCCTGGCGCGCGGAGCGCGCCATGGGCAACGCCGGAGGCGCCGAAGGGGAGGCCCAGCTGCGATCCAAAAAATCCGTGCGGCGCTCCAAAGGTTTACGTTGATGCGCTTTTCCCCTAACCGCATATCTCTAGAGATATTTAAACCGTTGTAGTACCATTCGTCTTAAATCGCTAGAGAGATTTAAACCGTTGTAATACCATTCGATTTGAAGTACTACATTTTAAACTAGGTCGGGCATGCCCCCCTACAGGCGCATTCTGGTCTGGAAAAAATCCTCAAACATATCTGAAAATAGTAGAAAAACAATGAATCGTCCCCGACTGTTGTTTGACTATGTTTGAGTATTCCTCCTGTAGAGGGACAGGCCCGACTGACATGTAAGTCGTTTTCGGCGCCTTGGCCGTCCGAGACAGCAGTGGGCGATGTCAGTTCACAAGCGGTTGTGAGTCCCTCATCCCTCCCTCCTTCTCCTCCTCCTCCTCCTCCTCCTCCTCCCGAGAATGTTGTTTTTGTGCATTCCCTTCTCCCTCCTCCCTCCTCTCTCTTCTCCCCTCCTCCCTCCTCCTTCCTTCTTCGCCCCATCCCGAGCTTGTGCACTTGTACATATTGTGTTGTATCTTGTTTCGCCCAATTTGCCCACGCGCCCGTCAGGGATGCACGGTGCACGGCTTCAGTCATCATTCAAGCGGCTTGAACCAAGCCGATGGAAAGCAGACGAGCTCCCCAAGGGGGACGGGGGGGGCCCGAGACCGCCCTGGTTCGGAGGCGGTCTGGCGGCGGCTTCGCCTGAGGCCTTCTTGCAATGTGCTCAGCAGCCGTGCTTTCGCCCCGCTGCCCGAACGAGAAAGCGAAAGATGAGTTCATCCCCGAAAAACACAAAACATATGATTTTTTTCGGCAACGGCCACCACGGCCACGGCCATCACGGCCATGGCCAACACGGCCACGGCCACCACGGCCACGGACACCACGGCCACGGCCACACGGCCACGGCCACCACGGCCACGGCCACCACGGCCTATCCGGACGGCCACGACCCCTAGCAACAAAGGAACTGCAACAGGGCGCAAGCCCGTGCGCGCTAACCCCTCTCCCGGCTGCACGTTGTCTCGTTCTGGGGGCTTCCCGGCCGTGCTCCTCCTACTCCTCGACCCGCCTCTTCACCCCTGCCGCTATCATAGAGGAACAAACCAAACTGCATAAACATAAGCTTCTGGCGCTCCGCGCGGAGCGCCAAAAGTTGGTGTTGATGCCTTTGATTCTTCGTCGATATCAGGGTGCTTCGCTGGGGCAGTGCTTGAGGGGCAACGATAGGGAGGGACTGGCATAATTAGGGGGGGATGCATCGACCTGGAACCTGGGCAGGTTGGGGCCATCGGGCCCCCATTGGCGATCAATGGGCGATTGGGTGGTGAGGCATCCCTTCCGTAATTATCCCCCCCCTGTCGTTGCCCCTGAGTCGGGGAGACGTAAGACTCGGGTACGGGGGACTTGGTTTGGCCTGACGGGGGCCACCATGAAAATGACGAGACGCAGTCTGAAATTTGACGCGGGCTCCCGCTGCAGACACCCCACGAAAACGGGGCCGTCAAAATCCAGGACGCGCTCGTCAAAAAAAGTCGGCAAACCCGACTGAGTCTTACGTTTCTTACTCGAGTCTTACGTTACTGGCAAGTCAAGTCTTACTCGAAGTTTTCTTACTTCTACAGGACGCGCTCGTCAAAAAACCGGCTTACTCGAGTCTTACGTTTCCCCGACTGAGTGCTTCTCCGAGGCAGCGACGGCGGCGCAGCGACGGCGCGGCCCCGGCGGCGGCGGCGCCGGCGGCGTCCTGCGCAGGGCGAGGTCCCCGTTGACGCTGCCGTAGTGCAGGTTCTCCTCGTTGATCTCCAGCGAGTCCAGGCTCCAGGGCCCGGCCTGCCGGGCGCGGGGGAGCCAGGCATCCAGGGTTTGGTCGGGCATGTCCCCTACTTGGATTCCAACGCTTTCGACACCATCCAGGGGAAGGAAGAAAGGAAGGGGAACGGAGCAAGGGCGAGGACGACAACGGGAAGCAAACTGTCCCGGGTCCGCATATAGCCATATGTCTGCGATTCGGGTGCGCGCACTTTCTTCGAGGCACTTCAATCCCGACCCATACTGAATTCACGAATTCCTCCAAACAGTGTAAACACTCTGTCCTCTGTTCCCTCTCCTATACAACTGCCTCATAACGGAGGGGCAGTGGATTCCAATCCCCTACAGGCGGATTTTAGGCGAAAGTGGAAAAATACTTAGAAAGTACCCCCAACTAGTCAAAACATAAGATTCAAAAAACATCGTCCCCAGACTTGTTTCTTGACGATTTTGGAATACTGATCCTGTAGAGGGACAGGCCCGACCTAAATCCAGGGCCCTGAGCAGAAATCGCCGTTTTCGAGGATCGAGGAGCGAGCTTCGAGGATCAAGGGAGCCATCGAGGGTCGAACTTCGAGGGTCGAGGGCAGGGATCGAGGAGGCAGCTTCGAGGGTCGAAATCCGAGGAGCTGCTAGACGGAAATGTTCGTGCCGTGTTTTTGGCCTCTGGGGGCCCCGGCCACGGGACCGCCAAAAAGCGGCTCAGCATTAAATGCTGGCACTGGTGAAAGGGTTCCGGGCTGATGGGGGCTCCGGACGGAGAACAGCAAGACATCGGATGTCTGGGATGGGGGGGGCTCTTGACTGGAGCCGGAGCAAGCGATAGCGCACGCTAGAGCGCTAAAATGGTTCCAAGAACGCCCCATGGCCATGGCCTCGCCGTGCAGGAGCCAGAGTGCGCGTGCTCCTGCCGCGGCCCGAGGGAGAGGAGGGGTGCGGGTGCAACCTTCTCTCCCGACGCCGACGACCGCAGAGGCGGGCGGAAGCACCTGGCAATGCCTGACGTGGAGGTGGTCTTCGCCGGACCAAGGCACGAGCCCATGACCAGTGCTGATCCCGACCCGTTCCCCCAGACCGGCTTTTCATCCCGAGTCGTTTGTTGACGGTCCCGAGGCCCAGCGAGGGCCCCCGAGGCCGTAAATGGTCAAAAACCTCCCGTCATGTCTTCTGTTTTTTTACGACGCGATCCTGTCTAGTAAACGAGCGTAGAGCTGAGACAGCAGGCGGGAAAGAAAGGCAGCCCCGGGCGCCAAGGCCTCCCCAAAGAGGCCCCCGAGAGGGAGGGAGGGAGGAGGGAGGGAGGAGGGAGGGAGGAGGGAGGGAGGGAGGGAGGGGGGGAGGGAGGGAGGGAGGGGGGGAGGGAGAAGGGAGTAAGGGAGGGAGGGAGGAGGGAGGGAGGTGCCATGGAAGACTGCTCGTCATTGTGATCCTCTTTGGCTGTGCCTCTTGCCTGGACTCCCAGAGCGCCGGGAACTGGGACTCGCACCGAGGAAAAGGCCTCCTCCTCCTCCTCCTCCTCCTCCTCCTCCTCCTCCTCCTCCTCCTCCCTCTCACTCCCCGTCTTCCTCTCGGCATTCGTGGGGGCCCTCCTTCTTCTCGTCCTCATCCTCGCCCCCTCCCCGAGGCGCTCCCCCCCCCCACGAGTCCCTGGGGGTGCTCAGGTGCCGGTCAAGGCATCTGGAGGCGCCAAAGTAATGCAGCAAGGAAAAACTGCACGGACATAAGAATGAGCATAAACACTAGCATAAACATAAACATAAATATAAACATACAGACAATAGAGCACTGGCATGAACACTTGTTGGGAGGCCCGCGCTGAATTCTGGGACCCCGGGCGGCGCCAGAGGCGACGCCAGGAGGGCCCAGCGCCGATCCAGGAAACCCGCACGGACCTCCGCAAAGTGCTGTTTGCGCAGCTTGTTCTGTCTCTTCCGCAAAAGACCCACCGGCCCTTTTGGGCGTCAGTGGTTTAGAGTGCTTCCTAGCATTAGTATGAGAATTTATACCATTATCATCCGTAGCCGTATGATTGGGATTCGTATTCGAATTCGTGAATTCGTAATACTGTTATGATGGCTTGTCTTATCATTAATATGTTTCTCCTTACTGTTATCATTCGTAGTCTTACTTGTTCCCAACCATCCTGTGGTGTTGGGTCCTCGTTTTGAAGAGACGGTGCCCCGCGTTCCTCCTTCCTTCCTCCTTCCTTCCTTCCCTCCTCCCTCTCCTCCCTCCTCCCCCTCCTTGCCTCTGCTCTCGGCACACCTCTCGCACGTTTCGTAGCCCCATAGGGAGCTCCACCGAAGGTCCCAGTGGGGGGGGCGCATGCGGTTCCCCCACCCAGGGCAGCGCTTCGTGGCCCCATAGGGAGCTCCACCGACGGCCCAAGTGGGGGGGGGCGCATGCGGTTCCCCCACCCAGGGCAGCGCTTCGTGGCCCCATAGGGAGCTCCACCGAAGGCCCCACTGGGGGGGGGGCGCATGCGGTTCCCCCACCCAGGGCAGCGTTTCGTGGCCCCACA